CCATAAAATAATGAAACATTCAACTAATGTATTCAATAAACATAATTAATGCTGAAAAAATACTTAATTCTACATCATGTCTAGTTAGGACAAATCAGGAAACTGAAATATTGACTTAACGTGGACAGCAGGAAATGGGGAGAATTTGAAAAAGAGGTATTCTGTTCAATGTGCGAAGAGGGGTGGAAGGGTAAAGAAGAAGATACAAGACGACAGAGAGAACAGAAACCAAAAGAAGGGAATAAAGGAAAAACTGGCTAACACCGGAAATATCAACTGCAAAGAAGGGACGCGAAGCAGAAAGTGTCAAAAGTAGTGATGGCATAAAAGCAGTGAAAAGGGAAGGTCATAACAGTAGGGAAGAGAATAGGGATGGTCGTGAGTAGAGAGATAAACCCCCTTTCTCCTTACTTTTAAGACAAGTTACAGATACTTCAATGAGCTCTAAGTAAATATCAGAGTAAAGTTAAGATGAGCATTCCATATGATTGCCTTTTGAGGGTCTTTATGTAGCAAAGCAACAAATTCTAAAGCAGCTCCAAAGAGCTAGCTATATTATAGAAGCCATCTGTGAAAAGGACTCCAAATTTTTTTAGCCAAAAAAAAGTGGGGTAAGAAATGGTATGCTAGTGCAAAAAGGGAAACAGACCGATGACAAAAGACTTAGAGGGGTCACAGAAAAAATGATGCATTGCTACCACATTGCTTTACTTGCACATTTCAGTATCAAGATGCTAAAAAAACTCTTTTGTAGAGTATGAATCAACAACAAATTGTGCTCTACATTGAGCAAAATTAGAACCTCCAGGCAAATATTTAAGTAACAGGCTCAGTAAAATGATTAAAAGTGACCTCAAACTCTAACTTCTGGCACATTTGTCATTGAAAAGGCAAAATTTTCATGATAGCTGAGTTACATGTCATTTTGGTAAAGTAGCTCCAGTTACCAAAAAAAATTATATGTATATATTCTGTGAAAATCTGTAGAGTGCCACATTTTCTAGATTATTCAGAGAATCCACTCCTGAATCAACCCTGATCAAACTGATCTATCATGAAAGTGTTTGTCAAATGTCACTTACTCACTCGTCCATCCATCCAACAAATATGTAGGAGCTATTCTAGATATGGGAAATACTGTGATTGAAGGGGTCCAGAATACGCCACTGTGGCATAAAAATTATTTTGAGCTGAAGGCATTTGAGTTCCTGAAATTCCTTACCTTCCTGAAAGCAGAGCCTCCCAAAAGAACCAAAAAA